AGTTGTGCAACCATTCTCACCCTCCTTTTCCAAACTGTTCTTCAGCCATTGACATGAACTCACTGCCCCCTGAGCTTCCTATCTAACTTTTCCAGGTGCTGTTGTCAATTTGATCCTGTGTAGATGTTTTTTCAAAAAGAACACAATGATCCAGGCAGACATATTTACTAATTAAGCTAAATTATTGTTTGGTTTAAAGAAGACTTCAGGCTATCTTTCTGGTTTAAGGCCTAACGATTATGTCAGGGCAGTAGTTTCAGAGGTTCATCAGAGCCTAGGGCAACCAGAAAGCCTGGATTCCTTGAGAACTTGGAATTCTCTTGTTACATTTTTCCTCTTTAATCAGGATTCTTCTATAGAATCTTTGATCAAAATGTTCAGGCAGATACCATCCAGTTCTTCTGGTCTCATAGCAAGGGAACAGTTAGTTGTTCATGGAAGCAATTATCCTCCTCCTGTTCTTGGCTCCCCTTTTTCATCTGTTGCTCCAAGCAATTATTGTAATTATCCAAGGATGGCCACTTGCAAGCTTTAACACCGCAGGTACTACACAACAAACTAGGAGGAAGAACAGAAGCACTGAAAGCTGTTATTAGGCCAATTAACTAACTGGGATGTCCCATGAAACTTTTACCCTAAACCTCCAAACCAAGCAACCGAATCCCATGAGGTTTTTGCTTGTATATATGCAGCCTCAGGAGCTACTCTTTCTTTTCCCTAAATTCTTATATGCTTTGGAGAGGTCAGATTTGGTGTGCATTGTCATGGTGCTACTTAAAATGGAAATGAAAATACACAGAGTAAGATATCTGGTGCTTAGATTTTGTTTTGCCGTTAAGAGGTAATTATGTGTTTTTCCTTTCTCATAGATTTGCATGAAGGGCAAAGTGCATATATTCAAGTATCTGAGCATACAGGCATGCCAGATTAAGACAGCTGACTCCCTTTACCTCCACTCAATGGAGAGGCCACATGTCCACCAGCATGTGGAAGACAGGTGAGTCCAACTACTTACTCAACGCCCCTGTTCAGGATGTTCTTAGGCCAGTGCCCCCCAGGTAACTAAAAAAATCTATTTGCATCACTCAGCCAATTCAGATATATAACTCAAGTTTGCAGAAACTATTGGAATAAGAAAAATTATTGCCATTGATAACATTTTGGCATTTATCCATTCTCATCTCATCCCCTCTCCTAATCCATCCTTCCTATTTTATTTTGCTTGCATACACACATGTTCATATATATATGTGTGTCTAAGCTTATAAATATGAACTATAATATAAATGTATTTTTACCTATCAATTGAAAAATTATATTAACCTCATGTATGCCCTTTCCAAATTATTATTCATTTTTGATCTGCCTCCAGAACACTGCTAAGAAAAATTGTCAGCTTAGTTTTTCATTGTGTTTTTAAAATGCATTGTGTGTAGTTTCTGCCATTTCCTGTTTAGAGTGAAAGTGTCAGAACCTTTTCACACGTCCTTGGGCTTTTTGTGGGATACATTGGGCCTTGAGTTTTCACAGAACAAAATTCCCACACTGAACACACTTCCAGAAACATGGGTTCTTTTTGAAAAGTCTTCACTGCACAAATCATTTCCTTAACTATTGGCTAAACAAGGTGGCTTAAAATCTCAGTCTACCCGAGTGGTACTTTTAAATAATGCTTAAAATATATATGTATATGTGTATTTTTTAAAAGTAAACCTACTAGCAAATTCATTGTATCATTGAATAAAAGTTTACAGAGTTCTTGAAAGTAACCACATTTAATAATAGGTAAATACGCTTATGTAGTTTATTGCTTTTTTATATATACTAAACCAAAAACCCAAACTCACTGCCAGATTTGACTCATAGCGAGCCCTCCTTGGGTTTCTGAGGAGGTATCACTATGGAAGTAGATTGCCCAGCCTTCCTACCAAGGAGTGACTGGTGGGTTTGAACCATCACCCTTCTGGTTAGCAGTCAAATGCCATTGGCACTACTCCACCAGAGCTTCTTTTTATATACCAGAATCATTAAAATAAGAAAATTCATAACTGTGTTACAAAAACTGTTTGACTTCTAAGAGCAGGCCTTTGGTTAAGGCCTATATCCATAAAACTCTGAGGACAAGGTTGGGCAATCTACTTCCGTAGTGATACTGCCTCAGAAACCCAAGGAGGGGTCGCTATGAGTCGGGTCGACTCGACGGCATATAACAACAACAACAACAACATCTTGGAAGAAAGGCCTCGAGATCTACATCCGACAAATCAGCCACTGTAAACCCTGCGGGTTACAGTTCTACTCTGACACACATGGTCCCCACAAGTTGACACAGCACCTGGTTTATAGCTTTAGATAGTGGAGGCATCTGATTTTCATTAGGGCTTTTTCTTAATATTCTTCAAGACTGGACTGATTTATTTTATTGCCTTATAGTAATCATTTAAAAAAAAAGTATAGTAAAATCATTATGAGAATGTAAATGATGTATCTTATGAACTTTGCGGCTTTAATTTTTTTCTAAATGAATTCAATATTGATGACATCCACCCCAGCAAGAAAGATTCTGACTCAGGCGTTGGGAGTGACAATGGAGACAAGCGATTATCTGCCACGGAGGTAAAGTTACATTGGTCAGATTTTTAACTTTTGTATTTCTAGATATTTCTGCCTGCTGTGATCGAACTCCTTTCTGGTAATTCACTCATCTGCTTCAGAATATGTGATGTTGTTTATGAAAGCAATTTGAAACACTCCAAATGTTATATAAATATAGGTGGCCCCCACTTTTTGGAAGTTTGCTTCATGCCATTTCATTTTCATGAAAGTACATACCAGTTTTTGCTGATTGAAAGAAATACAAAGAGGATTTTTCAGGTTCACAAAAAAAAGGTGAAAAGTGAAACTGGTGATTAGTGTGTTTTCCAGGGAGTCCTTGAAGAGTCAGATGAACCCCAGGCAGGGAGAGTGGCGTCACCAAGCTCTTTCCCTAGGAACTACATTCAGCATCTCAGCATCAAGCTGCCATAGTTTTGGACTGTGTCCGTGAACACTATCTGTTAGTGCTATTTTAGATTTTATGTGTTACTTGATATGATTGGGTAGGTTACTTTTTGGGCCCGTGAATGCATGAAGAGTTTTCCCATGTAAATAAAAAAAGGTCATTGCTTCTTTGCTTCACATCATTTCAGTTTAGGAAAGTTTTCATAAAAACGCTCTACTTTCAGATAGTGGGCGAAACCTGTGTCAGCTGTTTTTGCTTTTTCTGTATCTTTATTATTTTATGAATGCTTCTGAGTAAAGTTTCTATTTTCTTTCTCTCTTCCCCTGTTTTATTTACAGTATTCTTGGATGCTTAATAATAAATACTTCACATGACTAAGTGGTATACAGTTATCCATATGTTTGTTTTTGATTGGCAGACTAATTTAACCTTCCAGTGAAGATACTGTTGTTATATGTATGTGGGAATGTCAAAGAATCAGGTGTGCATTGCATTTAATCAGTTTATCCACAGCAAATACATGTAGGAGCTGCCATAATTTTTTTATAACAGTATCTGCTTTCTGGAAATCCTTAGGTTGTATTTCATTCAGATAATCAGATTAAAGTGTGGTTATTTGTAAGATAAGTGACTTCCTATAGTGGTTAGAAATAGCTCTCCATTAACATTTATTATCTCATTTATCGTCTCTGAGAATCCTAAAGTCTTATACTAATGTACAATTAAATGGGGCTTCTTTGCCCAGGTTGTCAGAAGGTATAGGTATGGTCAAAGATGAATGTATCATCATGTACTCTTCCTTTTTTAGGGAAGGTAGTGAATTTTTATAGTTATGAGTTTTAAAACACACCCTTTGCAGAGTAATTAATGAGTCAGCTACCCCATGTTAGGAATCTTCATTTTTTATTACGTGTGGCTCCCAGGAGAGAGACATTTCCCGGTTCTCTTCAGGTGTTTAATGCTTAATATGTAGCTAAGAAACTTGAACTTATTTTCTACGAAATGTGTTACAAAGCAGTGCATTAAACACATATATGTATGTATGTATGTATGTATATATACACACACACGTATGTTTGTGTATATACGTACATATATGTGTATATATACATATATGTGTATCTATATACACACACATTTATGTGTGTGTGTGTGTGTGTATAAAGTGAAAATATTTCAAATATAGAAAATCATTTTTAATGGCAGTAACTTAATAGGCAAGAAAAGAGGCTAATGTCAATAAAAGAAAATGACCCTCATGAAACCTCATTAATAGTTTACTAGGGTTCCCTAGGGGGATAAAAACTAGGCACATTGCTTTAGAAGCTGTATTTTAATTCAGTGCTTTCAGCTTTATTAAAACTCATAAGTCCCCTCAAATGTACCATTGTTTCAGAAATTACTCACCCTAAGCTTATTTTCTATTAAACTGAAACAGACTCTGCTTTATCCTTTATATCTTCTAAGAATAATTAAGTTGGTTAATAAAACATTACACAAAAGACTCTATTATTCCTTTGTTCTCACTTACTATATGTAGAATGTTAATATCCTTCTTAAAAGTTTGAGAATTTATTTTCTCCCTTTTAATTAGATGCCTATCTTTGGAATTTTGCTAAGTTTTTAAGATGGGGGAGGATGGAAGGAAGAGGGACTATATAGCAAGGATTCTGTTCAACAGAATAAAATGCTTAAGTCTTCTCTCTGGCCTTCTCTTATTTCCCATTGTAGCCTCAATACCTGAGCAACACCTCCAAGGTGTCTATCTTTTAGAATGATACATTTTCTGAATTATCCTATGTAGCTTTCTGTTTTCACTTTGTTTGGCAAATATGTTACTGTCCATGGTCAACCTGTCTTGCCCCCATTTATATCTCATGGTGAGGTTCAGGGGTCACACTGCTTCTCCTTCCTTTGGCTTTACCATTGATTGAGCTTTTGTAATTAAAAAATTAAGAATATACTTTTCTCAAGATATACAGCCGTAAAATGTGGGGCTCAATGAATATTTCTTAAATGTATGAGATACACACTTGTTTTCTGCCAATTTCCAGACAGTTGGTGAATGTGTCAAGAAGTAAATGAAAACGAACATTCTCTGAAAGTAGTCACCTGTAGAAGGAAGGAGCCAGCTGTAATCACCTGAAATGTGTTCTGTAGAGATTCCTAGTCCATCTAATTTGGAAATTTTTCTTTAAAAAGCAACACTAAAATGGAGACTTAGGAAAACAAATGAGGTTCCATATTTCATTTGTGACAGAGTCATAGATTTTCTGAATCCACTTCACCAGCAACTGAGTGAAAAGAGACTCCAGAGGGAACACCCTCAGATTACTAAACTGAAGCCTTCTTCCAAAAATTACACAGAACACCTGTTCTTTTTAAGTACTACTTTTTTTTTTTTAGCACTTTTATATATTTAATGCAACTCTCCAGCCTGAAAAAACAGAAACAAACCTTAGTGGTGTGCAGAAGATGCTCTGTAAATTAATGAGGTGGCGTCCCAGAGGTTGTGTGCCCCTGCTTTTTATGACTAGCCATATGAAACTTTAATGTAGTTTTGGTAAATTAGCTTTGTTGTCAGATCTCCAAGTACCATTACTATTAAGATGATTGATGAAATTTAAGGCTAACAAAATAGTCTTCTTACAATTGTTCCTTTGTCCTGTCAGGTATTACACAGTTCTTTGTAGGTGCCCTGACTGTGGCTGTTAGGTTAGAAAAGGACAGGTACCTTCAAAGTTTCAGTTCAAAATGTATGTTCGATGTTAGCTTGATGAATTTTCACAAAGTGAGCATACCCTTATAACCAGCTCCAAGTTCAAGAAACAACTTTCCCAGCACCCCTAGAAAGTGCTATTTGTGCCCCTTAGCCCCCACTCCAAGAGAAATAACTATCCTAACTCCAGACACCATGGATTAGTTTTGCCTGTTTTTGAACTTAGACAAGTAGAATTGTCCTCTTTTCCAACTAGCTTCTTTTACTCAGTATTATGTTTGGGAGAATCACAAAATGTTTTATCACATGGCACTCTTTGTATTTTTACTGGTAACACTTCTCCCTTGAATGAAACACTACACTGTTATCTTTTCAGCCTTCTGATGAAGATACTGTTAGCCTTAACGTGCCAATGTCAAATATCATGGAAGAAGAACAGATCATCAAGGAGGACTCGTGCCATCGCCTTAGCCCGGTTCAAGGTCTGAGAATAAAAATGGGGAAAAAGTGCTTGTTGTTAAATTTCCAAATGTTATATTTTAAATTTGCAAAATATGGCAATGATAATAATGTTTATTTCACACTTCAGCTAATTTGTGAGGATTATCTCATTTACAGATCAAAGCACCAAGATGGATGCTCTGCCTCTATTTTATAGCTGAGGAAGGCAATGTTCAGAACATTTAAGTAACTTGCTAGTGTAAGCTAGTAAGTTGTAGAGCTATTTGCATTCTGAATGTTTCCACCAGATTCTTTAAATACACTCTCTGAAAGAAAATATTGATATGGCAGATTTGTTACTTAGGACAACTCCAGCTAGGATTTGCAAACCTCAGTGGCTTACCACCATCCAAATTTGGTCCAAATGGGAGTTACTGATTGGCAAGCAACTCTCCTCTGGGGGATAATTTCAGGACCCAAGCTCCTTCCATCTTGCGACTACCATCTTCAACACAGTACTTCTAAGATTCTCATGCTCTTCTGTTTCAAGCCAGAAGAATATGGCAGGTTGCTTATGGAACATACTATGGTCTGAGCCTTGGAGGAATGTACATGCTCCTTCTTAAGTGGCTATACCCACCTCCAAGGGAGAGTGAGAAATATAGTTGAGATGAGTACCCAAGAAGTGACTTGACTTTGGACAAGTCAGTTAACATTAATCCCCTCACAACAAGATGATTAGACCAGGTGATTTCTAAGGTGCTTGTAGCTCTAAAATTCTGTGATCGCTAAATACTGTATGCCCCTTACCTCCCACATCCTAGTGATGTTTAACACCTCAGTGAGACACGATCTATGATTTATATTATGACAGTACTTTCATTGCTACTGTCTGTTCAGTGAGTTTTAAGGAAAATGCTAACTTATAATTTTTTAAGATTTGTGGCAGAGACTACTTCATTAACTATAAATAGTATAAAAGTAGAAAGTGAAAATTATCTCCCTAATAGTTTTGAGCATGCCCTTATTGGGGATGTGAGAGCCATTTAAACCAACTCAATATATAAAGCCAGGTTTAGCGTTTGCTTTTCATATCATACGTGTTTAGGTTCTTAAGTTTAGCTTTTATACTCACCAGAGATGCTGTTTGGTACCATACATTGTGTACCTCTGGTAGCATAGTGCCTAAGGTACTTGACTGCTAACCAGAAGGCTGGCAGTTCAAACCCACCAGCCACTCCTCAGAAGGAAGATGGGGCAATCTACTTCCATAGTGATACTGCCTCGGAAACCCAAGGAGGGGTCGCTATGAGTCGGGTCCGACTCCACGGCACATAACAACAACAGCAACAGACTTTCTATAGGAACCTTAGTGGGACAGTGGTTAAGTGCTGAGCTGCTAAAACCACTGAAAGGTCTGTGGTTAAACCCAGCCGCCATGCTGTATGGGAGAAGAATGAGTCACTCTGCTTCCATAAAGATTTACAGCCTTGGAAACCCTATGGGACAGTTCTACTCTGTGCTTTAGAGTCACTATGAATTGACATTGCCTGGAGGGAAATGAGTTTTAGGTTTAGATACTCTGTATAAAAATGTAACTCTGCAACTCTATCAATCAGATAAACTTTGTAACATTATGTAGTAGGTGTATGAGATCATATTTTAGGCAAATTTCTCAAATAAAAGAATTATGTGATTTGTTCCCAGTGAGTTTTATCCCCTCTGTTCTTGGCATGGTATCTGCTGGTGAGGAGGCCTTAAGGGGCAACCCTATTTGCAGTGGCGTCACTAGGGTTGGTGTCACCCAGTGAAGTGATTCATGGTGTCACACACACCCCCATTGGACCTTCTTCCATACCGGACTATACAAAATCCTTGGTGATGTTTATTATCAATTTAACCTTAGAATACTAGGTGATAGAGTTGTAAATTGCCATTGCTTAAATATAGTATTTCTTAGACTATGAATACTAATTACAAAACTATTTTGTAAAATCTTTCTGTATCGAATTACAAAATTAACTGAGCAGAGGCTTTTCTTTGATCTTTCTCCTTCATTTCCTTTAATTATTACTGAATTCTCAGAAAAGTTACTAATGCAGGTTCACAAATACTACTTACCACAATATTGTAGCTAAAACACCAGAAAATTTGACAAAATCAGCAACTGTAAAAACACCAGCAGGAACAAAAATAGTAGCACATGCTTATTGCATGCGTAGATGAAACCACATGATTGGAAGCATCATTATAATTGGGTAATGATGACAGCTCTGATCGAAGTGCATTATAAGGATCAAAAAATGAATTGGCAAAGAGTTTTAGACTCGTTTGTTTGTTTGTGCCGTCGAGTTGGCCCCGACTCATAGCGACCCCTCCTTGGGTTGCCAAGGCAGTATCACTACGGAAGTAGATTGTCCAGTCTTCCTTCTGAGGAGTGGCTGGTGGGTTTGAACTGCCAGCCTTCTGGTTAGCAGTCAAGTGCCTTAGACACTATATGGATTCAAACCCACCAGCCACTCTGCGGAAGGAAGACTGGGCAATCTACTTCCATAAAGATTTACCCTTTTGGAAACCCAAAGGGATCACTATGAGTCAGAATCTACTCAATGGCAGTGAGTTTGGTTTTTGGTTTTAAAAGGTCAGAGAGAAGATTGAAATGATTAAATAAGGTATTTGAGGTATGTCGCTGCTTTCCTCATCTGTGAAGTCATACTCTCTTTCCTTTGTATTTTCCTAATAGGCAAATTTCATCAGGAATTTCAACCAGAGCCTTCCCTTTTGAGTGACAATGACAACTCAGGAGAAGAAAGAGACCAATTTACGGAAGGAGCAGATGTTCTCAGTTCTGAATTTATGAACTATATAAAGGCAAGTTGAGGCTCCACTAAGTCTCTGCTCGTTTTCTTCTAGTTGAAGCCTTAAAATTCAAGTTGAAAGGTACTAATCCATCACCTTAAATGTTTAGCTTACTATAGTTTTCCTCAAGACTTTATAACATCTTCTCAAAGGTTGGCTTATGTATTTCCCAGCATTAGTTTATTGGTCCCTGCCATATGTGACTTTCTCTTTGTCTTTCTATGTGTTATGATGTTCATTTACATTAAAAAATTACTCAGCTTTCCACTATTCAGTATATCACATAAATTAGCACATTGCTACTCAGAAGAGCTACAATAATGTTTCACATACTTTGCAATATATTCTAGGTAAATATTCTTGGAAGTTTATCCATAGTTGTAGTTGTGGTTGTGGTTGTTGTTCTTAGCTGCCATCCAGTCGTTCCCCAGCTGCTAGTGACCCAATGCACAGTGGGATTGTACCGGTTTCATTGGCTGATTGCTGGAAATAGATCTCCAGGCCTTTCTTCTTAGTTTATGTTAGTCTGAAAGTTCTGCAGAAGCTGTTCAACATAGCAACATGCAAGCCTCTGCTGACAGATGGTTGGTGGCTGAACGTGAGGTGCACTGGCCGGCAATGAACTCTCGATCTCCTCCCACACGGGAGGTGACGATTCCACCACCGTACCACCACTCACTCACTCACTCATTCACTCACTGCCATTGAGTCAGATACAACTCATAGCGACCCCTTTGGGTTTCCAGGGCAGTATCACTATGGGAGTAGTTTGCCCAGTCTTCCTTCCGAGGAGTGGCTGGTGGATTTGAACCACCAGCCTTCTGGTTAGCAGTCACGTGCCATAGGCACTATGCCAACTGCTCATATATCAATAGTATAAAGAGAAAAATGGAGACTTGTAAAATCTGGAAATAACTGCCTTCCCTTTTTGGAAAGGTCATTCTGAGGGTGCTTAGTTTTGAGCTACTTGTCGTTTTCCTGAGGTGTTGAAAGGTTGAGTGCCGTCACTCAGCTCTCAGGGAAGCTTTGTCATGTTGTTGTTTTTATGTGCCGTTGAGTCGGACCCGACTCATAGTGACCCCTCCTTGGGTTTCCGAGGCAGTATCGCTACAGAAGTAGATTGCCCAACCTTCCTTCTGAGGAGTGGCTGGTGGGTTTGAACCACCAGCCTTCTGGTTAGCAGTCTCGTGCCTTAGGCAATATGCTACCAGAGCTCCCACACTTTGTCATAGTAACAGCAAAGGGAAAAGAGAAAAAGTAGCTCTTTATTAAAGTAGGTAGTTAAGGTTGTGCTTTATAACTTGATTAGGTGTCTTGCTATGTTTCTGGTGGTATAGCTCTGTTTAATATGTTTCTACTGTAGTGGCCAACAGTCTCAAGGATAACTGTCTTGGCAAAATTGTGATTTACTGTGGCTTGTGAGACTTAATGGTGTCAGAGCTGCTGTGTTTGATTTCTGGCTGATGCACCTCATGCATAACCCCTACCTGTCTGTCAGTGGAAGTTTGAGTGTTGTTGTAATGCTGAGCAGGTGTCAGCAGAGTTTCCAGACTAAAAGGGACTGGGAAGAAGGGCCTGGGGATCTACTTCTGAAAATTAAGAAAGCCACACATGGAATCTCAGGGGTGCTCATTCCAGTTGTCTGAGGCTGTGTCATGATAGCTGGACTCAGTCTAAACCAAAGTCTGTAGGCATAATCTGTAAGGGGCTTGGAAGGAAAACAGCTGAATTTTTTTTTTCTTTTTCTTTTTTTTTTTTTATAATATTTGTTTT